TTTCTTTCTTTCTTTCCTTCCTTCTTTCTTTCTTTCCCTTGTCTCGTCCTTCTCTTACACTTCATCCATCTTTGGCTCATCTCCTCCCTCGTCTCTTGAGCTTCGAGGAGCTCATTTAGGTTGACGTGGGGAAGACAGGCCCTCGGATATGCCCGCTGGTCATGGTAGAGAACGAGCACTGGCAAATAGAGCTCTTTGACAACACTCCCAGTCGGATGCCAAACTGTTTGTCTTGCCCTATGAGGGGAATTTGGCTACTATACTTCTCTTATAGTACGTCTAATTTAACATCCACAGGCGGTAAAGACGGACTACTGTAAGAAAGTAAGTAAGTGAAAAGGTACAAAGTGGAAAAAGTATTAAAGTAATAGCAAGTCAATTTGTCGGCATTAGCTCCTAGTTACTATTTGTTGGGTTAGTTGCGCTTTTTTGCCTCAATGTCTGCCTTAAACTCGAAAATGGCTTTAGCAACAAAACTCTGATAGAGATGCAACCTTGAGTGTTCTGGACCCCTTCCTTTTGTCACATTTAAAAACACCTTTTCAAGGAGTGTTGCAAGCTCACACGGAGTCTCTGAGCTGAGTTTTCTGGCTCATTAGAGTTTCTCATAATGAGACGGTTGCCTTTGGCCATATCAAGTTCCAAAGTTTTACAAAACAAAGCGAATCGCAAAATAGACCCCCAATTATTTTGGCTGAGGATTCAACATCTGAAACGTCAAGCCAGAAAACACTGAGTGACAATCATTTAGGCCTAATGCTCGAAAATTAGAAGAAGCGTTTGTACTGTCTCACCAAATACTTTCCCACTTCTGAGGGTGCAAAAGCACAGAGGTATGGTGGGGGAGTTACAGCTGAGGCAGAGCTGAGAGCTGCTAGGCTGCTCACCTCTTCCAGGCTGTTCTAAGGTGTTAGAGCCAGGAGTTGAATAAGTTAGGCAGGAAAAACTTCAAACAAGCTTCCTTTCTGGCTTTCTTTATACTCTTTCTAAAGGTGGAGAGAGGAACGGCGAGAAGCTTTGACACCGTTTCTTCTCTGTGGTTACTGGACATCCAGTCACATTGTGTGGACTCCTAAAAAAGACCACAACTTTGACAAAACAGGAAAAATGCTTCTTCAAACACTGGCTTCAAAGTGTTATGGTGAGGCTAAACTTCCTACTGTTTAAAAGCAGTGATGTGCGTGATCAAGGGTCTGGAAGGAAAGCCTTGGGTCATCAGGGCTTGAGCTCTGGGATGGTAATTATGCTTAATCTCAAAGTGCAGAAGGCTCAAACCTGCCATACATTAACTCATAATTGCTAAAAACCCAGTAATCATGCAGGAAATAAGGTTAACAATAACATTCCTTAAATAGAGTTAATGGAGTAAAATGGCACCGTTAAGGCCTCAGTATTATTAAAAGGAAGTAGTGGTCGGATGGTTACTTATATTTGACATAATCACGCATATTATGCTGTGATTGGTCGAGTGTGCTGAGGTGAAAGTAAGCAGGGTTTAAACTCTCTCTCTCGCTCTCTCGCTCTCTCGCTCTCTGGCTCTCTGGCTCTCTGTTTTTATTCTTCACACAGCTCCTTCCACAAATGACTTCATAACTACAAATGTCAGTGTCGTGGTGGCGCTACAGGAAAAGTCAGGGGATCACAGGGAAACAAAGCCATTAGGGATCATTGTCTGGGGACCCATCCTTTTGGTTGATGTTGAGATATTTCACTGGATAAGTGAAAACTTAATTTTTTCCGATGAAACGTCTCAAACACTGTTGGATGGATCGCCATGACATTTGGTACAGACATTCACATCCCCCTCAACATGATCTGTAATAACTTTGGTCATCCAAAGACACCAACACATTTGTTGTTGTTTTTTTAAACAGAAGCTTAACTGGACGTTTAAATCACATGCTTCATGTATGTCATGTTTCATTCGTCGAGTCTGTTTCTGTTGCACTTTGGCTGAGGTCAAAAGTTGCTATATGGATAGAAAACACACATTTTTTTGTGATATTTTAACTTTTTTTCCACTTTTTTTTCCAGGTGCAATTTGAAAATGTGCATTGAACAGATTGATGGAAACACATTTATCCATGCTCCCCTCAGGATGGGCGATCACTTAAACTTTCCTCTAGCGTCATTAGCAAGTCAAAATTTCAATTTGTCCAATACTTCAGATTATGACCAAATACCTGCAAAACTAATGACGTTCCCATCAGCATTGTAGTCTTGTGAGGGCACTGGTTTCTAATTTAGCCTGGCTTGTGGCTAGTAACTACCCTTAGCTGTCCAGACTGCTCTGCTGATAAAGGGATGGTAGTGAGACATTGCGGTGGTGTTCATAAATAGGAACTTTCTTTCCTCTGCAGCAGTGAACACAATACACAACCTTCTACCACTATAAGAGTGCAACCTAGCTCTCTCACAGAACTGCAGCATCTGTATACCTGTGCAGAAAAGAGATGAAATGAACGTGCCCAGCCAAGTTTTAAACAAAGGAAAATATATTTTTTAAGACAAGATGACAGTTGCACAACCTATTTGATTTGATGATCTAATGACTATATGAAAATCATGACCCATCCCTAGTTTATACCCCTTTGGGTTTAGTTTCCTGTCCTGACTGTCAACCTGTTGTCAATCTCTGCCTGCATGTTTGACACAGCAGTCTGTGTTTTTTAAGCTACAACCCGCCTTTTACATTACACATAGGTAACTTGATCTAATGTTAATAGCAAAAATATAGATTAATGCAGCTTTAAAAGGGTCAATATGATACAGTGCATTACTACACCAATGTATTTTATACACAGTAATAGTTTAGTAGGAACTCTAGTAGAGCTGCCTTTATAAACTCCTAGATGGAATTATGAAATATGAAGTTCCTATAGCTGAGTGGCTTAAAGCATTAATTATACAACGGAGTGTGTTAAATGAGAGAGCCTGCCCTCCATGAAACCGTGGAGGATTTTGACAGAAATATCGCCCCAAAAGCTTCTCCCTTGACAGCCTCCGCGCTCTGATATTATATTCATTTAAATACATTAAATCATCACTAACACCCGTGGAAGTGCAAATCCATTCTATTTTCTGTTACACTTATTTCAGACTTATTTCCAGCTTTCAGACCCAGCTCTTAAATCAATAATAATTTAGATGAGAAATTAGTGACAGAGCCCTGGCTCTCTCCACGTGGGAGCCGTAAAAACAGAGAGAATCAGGGCAAAATATCTAACTCCTCGTTTGAAATGGAAAGGGTAGTGATATGAAAAAAACGTTTTCTTTTTTCACTTTTTTAACTTTTTTTGAGTTAACTTCTGACATTTCATTGTGAAAAGATTAACCTGAGGTCGTTCTTCTAAAATAATGTATATGTAGATAAATCCCTCTGGTATATACTCTATCTGTGTCTCACCTGGAATATGTTGGAGAGGTCCCGCAGGTTGAAGATGTAGTGGAACTTTACTGCGGTGGGGAGGAAGGTGGAGGAGATGCGTTGGTGCAGGGCCAGTGCTAAGTGGACCAGGTTGGGACAGCTCTTCTGCAGGGCGGCGCTAAAGCCCTCTCCTCTCAGGTGCTGAGACAGGATGGAGGTGTAGATGGTGCTCAAGGCCTCGGCTCCGGGAAACGACAGGGCAAAGACAGAGAAGTGCCGCTGCAGAGGGAGACACGGGGCAAACAAGGCGACAGTAAACATGTTGCTCCTCGCTAATGAGGCAGTCAGTTATCTTCCATACTAAAACAAGGGTCACCTTGTGGGTGTTTACAGCAGTAAGTAAAGAGGGACCGTAGATCTGTTAAGTGAGCCTTTTAAATTCAAATAAGACCAACTTAAAGTTTGACCTATAATTATATCATTCTCCTTCAGAAAAGTAGTCCTCTAAGTTTAGTCAAGTTTACGATCTACTGTATACCCCAGTTAGAAGTAATTTCCTCCTTTGATCATATGCGTATATATATATATATATGTATACTTTATAATTATTATAATCTTATTCCAGTTTCTTGATACAGACTGGCAATCGCTGTGGATGTAGATAGAGGCCAGTAGCTCCTTCAAACTCCTCCATTTCGCTTATAATACGTATTTTTTTTTAGCTTTATTGCTGAAAACATCATTGAATGATGTCTGATTAAGTTTGATTTGTAAGGGCTAAGCTAAAATTGTTTAAATCAGTAGATTTTGACTGACAATGGCTGGGGCTGGTTGGCTAGCTCCTTCAAACCTCGTTGTTGAAATTTTCTGTTATTCTATGAATCCAATATCTTTTTCTATGTGTGTAGCATGAAAGGACTGCAAAGTATCATTTCCATGTACAACCTTGTGTTGTATAATGATAAATACATTTCCTTGATACTGATGCTGCTCATCAGTACTGCTATTACTACTACTTGCCATATTTTGGTCCAAAAAAGAAAGACATGACATGGAAAGATAAGAGTTTTATTATTCCTTTTTTGAAAGTTGAATTTAGCTCCATTTTCACTACAGTCAGAAACATGAGCCCACACTTTTGAACATTTTGCTTTACAACATTACATAATTACAGATAGCTGTATCGTTTGTCCAGTAGCTTATAGATATTTCTGTATTCACAAGTTGGGAACCGGCACCAGTACTGATTCTTAATTACCCATTCCAATCTACTACCTACAGTTTCCATGTTTTGTTATTTCCTGTCCTCTTGTGTCTTGTTTTTATCCACTTCCCATCTTTGTCTGTTTTCCCTTCAGTTTGGATTATCTGCCCCACCCTGAATTTTTTTTTCACTTGTCTTGTTATCCTCCCCCTCACCTGTGTATTTAGTGTTTGTGTTTCTTTATTTCATTGTGAGTTTGTCCTTGTTCGTATGTCAAACTTTCAACCTCTCCCCTAACGTCTTCTCAGTTTTGTACGAACTACTTTGAGTTTATGGACTTTCTACGTGTCTTATTGAATTTTGTCGGCTCATTTTGCCGGTTTAGGAAAACTGCCTCATGGTCTTGTGGGTTTAAGCTCCACCACCCTTGTTTGCAATTAAACCATCTGAACTGCACCTGCTCTGCTCTGCCAGTCATGTTCCATAACTCCGCTTGCACAACTGTGACAACAGTCGATGGCAGTGAGCGGGCCCCAAGTGAAGCAGACAGGACATGGAAGCTAGGCAATGTACTGCTGTGGACGGGGTCAGCAGAAAAATGTGTAGCAACCTAGAAATAGGTCCACCTCAAAGGAATCAATATTAAGTGTACGCTATATTTAGATTTTCACCACTATATGTTGCTGTCAAACAGCAGAAGCAGTTATGTCCATCTTTTCAAATCTACCAAACTCCTTTGATAAAAACAGTAACTGTACCTGGCAGCGCATGGGAGTTGCTGGTCTGCCGCTGCCTCGATCGGTTAGTCTCTGTTTGTGTTATTGTGTGACTTTGGTGTTTTAAAACGTTAGATTCCCTGCTGGTACTCCTGCTGGCGTCTACTGTAGCTATGGATAACTACCTCATACAACCCCACTTCAACATACCCAAACTATCCCTTTAAATCACCCTTCTCTCACACCAGTCCTAATCACTTTGCATATCACAAAGCTAGCGGGCGCTGAAGACACTGCTGCTTATGTCAAACACTATTTAGGAATATCTTGAACAGACTCATAACACTGTTTGTTGATATTAGAAGTGCTTTTAACACCATTCTGCCTCACCTTCTGTTTCTTAGGTAGACACTGCGCTCTGTTCATTTAATTGTGGATACATTTATTTTGGTAAAATGTGGCAAACAAGATAAAATTCTATATTGTTATCTCCTAGAATAAGTACCTATCACCTGTTTTGTACACTTTGCACATATACCAATGCCAGTCATCACAGACAATTCATAAATTCTTTAAAGACAGCATTGGTACATTTTTTAAAAACCAATGTTGAGTCTACAGTGCATTTTGAGAAAGAATTTTGTCAGATAGTGCAAGATAACTATCTTCAGGTCAATGTTCAGGTCTAAAGAAGGGCAATGTGATTGAAAGAGTCTCAATGTTTAAATATCTCCGAAATGATCCTGACAATCGAAAACGTATAGACTGCACCGGTTCAAGACCAAAATACTGCAACAATGAATGCTTTTAGAAAGTTTAGAATGGATCCTGATGTCCTTCAGCTTTTTTAAAGTCAGTATTAGAGTGTTTTGACTTTTAGTATTGAGCAGACTTCAGTAGAACAGCTTTATAATGACTTTCTTTTAAATAAGATTGTTTGAGTTGATCCATGGGGGACGATATTACAACTACAAGATCTAAGCATTCTTTTGTTCCTGCTGCTGTCATTTAACAGCCACACTCAACTGTGCAATCAGCAGCTACCAGCACTGCTGCACTGTTTGTAAATGTCTCATTTTGTCCTCAGTTTTAATGGTGTATTATACACTTTCATACATCTGCATACATTTTATGTTTGTTGGAATTTAATCTTTTTCAAGGTATGAAGTTTAATTTATTGTATGGTGGTGTCACATTTGTCTGTGCGTAAGAATGAGTGTCAGCATGTGTGTGAGTAGATGGGAGAAGGTCAAAGTAACGTTTGACAATAACTACAGTGGCTAGTTTTAGGAAATAACTGAGCCTTTTTTAAAATGAAACTATACATTTGTGAGGATTTTTTAAAGATTTAGATCTTCAGAAGGATCTAATGTACTTATGGGCTGCAATCAAGGGAAATCTTGAAAGTACTGAGGGATGGACTTACACATGGTTTAGGCCTTTTAATGGGATTTGTGCACAATAAGAAACATAAATTGATGGCAGGCTTATCCTTTAAAAAAGGCGAGTTTAATTGCCTAAAAATAAGCAGATCAGAAAACACTGTTGTTTTTGTAACACTCATACTGTATGTGAAGTCCGGAAAACAGGCATATTTTGTCATTTAGATATTTTTCCTCATTTCATTATCATTTTGTTGTTGTTTGACTTGAATTCTTTGGAAGTAGCCTAGTGAGCTACGAACTAAGTAATGTCTGAGATGTCACATTAGACCACTCTAACACTGATCAAACACAAAAAATAATTATGGCATCCAGCGTTTCCTGTGTTTTTCTTGTGCTCTAAAGTAAGTTTTGATACGCTCTTCAGTCAGAGATATTGCACATGAACAAACAATGAATAAGTAAACAATGTGCTACCACCCTCGGGCAAAAAGCAGTGGAATTTCTTAAATGCTGAATGTTGAGACACGCCGTGTTTTGCTTTTTGTGAATGTTTCGTCTAAAACCAATCAACTGTGCATGAATGGCCACACAAATGAATGAACAAACAAACACTGAAAAAAATGACTGCAGACAAACAATGTGATGGTCCAACGTTTTGTAAGAGGAGGTAAATATAGAGAAAAGATGATAACATGATAACATGTGCAAGAGGAATTAGTGCACATGTAAGCTCAGCAGTGTGTTGCATAACCCGGTGGAACACAATGTGCTGCGAGGACATGCTGTGTGTGTGTGTGT